TCGAGCAGTGAATTTTGAGGGGCTGTTTTACCCCCTCAAACTATTCTCTAGCAAAAACAAAAAGAAATACATGTTCAATAGTTTTTAATTCTCTACAAATTCATGTCAGTTTGAACGCACACAAAATGTTCTCTTGTAAGAGCGTCATCTTGATCTTTAAACATTTAATGAGATTAAATAATTGTTTGCCAAGTGAAAAGAAGAAGAATTACTTTATTATACATATTTTCACGGTTTAATCAATTGAAAATGACGAAGAACATTTTTAAATCTTTTAATCGTTATTCGAAACTGTTTATCTGAACAATGAATTTCATTATTTCTGGTTCTAGCGTTAATGATCCAGTAAAAAATCGATGATCTCAATGGTCGAATCGTAGACACTGACGTATATTTACTTAATTGGCTCTAATATTCTTCGAGGCACACTGCTTGATTGCTCGTTGTGCCGTTTAACCCGTCGATGATCCGAGCCAATGATTTCGACCTGGCATCAGAGCGATTCAAGAATTCGCAGTGTTCTGTTCGATCGGCTTTCGCTGGCGTTTAGCCAACGGACGTAAAACCGAATCCGTTATTATTCGCGGCGACGACCGGTAGAAAAATATCCGGAAACGTTCGCCGAGGAACGCTCGTGCATCTGAATCGTTTCGAACGGACGCACAGTGTTTTGAAATCATGCTATCGATGGTGAAAACACAAATTGTCGGGTTGCTTGGAAAGTTCGTAGCGTGTTTTAACCCTTTCGATGTTTATGCCGAGTATACTTGTCATGGAAAGATTAGATTTTCTTTGTTTAATGACGAGTATACTAAAAAAAAAATTTGCATTAGCTATTTAAAGTAAAATTTAGGTAAAACGAAAAACGTATTCATAATTTTAATACATTTTAGAATATTTCAGGACAAAAAGAAAGAAAACATACAAAGAAAAAAAATCACTTGACAAAAAAGGGAATATGCAGCAGTATACATATTAGAGATCCTTATTTCACGTGTATTTAAATACACGTGTACACGTACTTCAGTACGTGTCATTTTAAGTACACGGATACACATGTACTATTTCACGAATATTATACATATTTAAGTACACGTGTATTATTTCACGTATATTTAAATACACGTGTATTAACGTACCTGCATTTTGATTCCTATTAATTTTTAGGATACAGTTACTAATTTCCGAAAGCAAAATATACTTATACAAAATAGATGCAAAACTAAATTTGAAAACCACTCCCATTAATAAAGGGTAAAGCCGGCTATAAACAATAGACACGACTTTTTGGTATGGGAATAATTTAAAAAATAATATTTTTTTATTTAAATTACACATAACCCGAAATATGTAAAAACTGCACATACTTCAGTTAGCCTTAAAAAGGTACTGGAGGTACACTACCATTTTCACAATTTCTTTTCATATTGCAATTAATTTAATTGTACCAGTTATATACAATTTCGATTGTATTGAGAATATTTTATCGATCTAAAGGAATAATCATCGGATAGAGCAACGTCTAATTAATTGTATAAATGTTAGCAAATTTTCCAGTCGAAGTGGTGTAATTTTATTACAAGTTTCATAGACCGTGGTAAATTTTTTTTCCTCTGTTATTGAAGTCTGATGTCTGCATAATATGTACAATTAAAAAATAATTTCCACTGGGACGGGGTGGGAAGTAAACCAAAAATCTATAAACGCGAATAAATTCTACTTTTTTTTCAAAGTTACCTACAGTCTCGACATAAAAAGTTTATTTTACATCTATTTTGTTACTTACTCTCTAAGGTGCTAGCCTGGTTAACCCAGCTACGGTTTTTAAATCTATTTTGACCCACTCATCTTTTCGTTTCGTTAACGTTGTTACGACTTTAAACACTATCATTAACTTAATCTCGTCCTTTCAGAAATGTTCTTAGATTTGCGAAATATCTGAGGAAAATTTTACTGATCTACGTGTGTCTCCTTTCTCGTCATTATTTCGAATGAATAGATATACTGAGGACCGTAGCAGGGTTATTATCACTTACAAATTCTATCGAATAACACAAATATCTCACTTTGAAAATTATTTAAAAAAGAAATATACAATTGATTTCAAAGTCAAATTACACGTCACCAAGGGTTAAAAGTAAAATAATTACGTATAAACTAGTTGAGGTGTCATATTTAACTATTGTAAAAAAAGAATATCTATTTTTGAATTTTAATTTCTCGAGTTTTCGCCTTTTTTTCGTGGGATTTTGAAATCACTGTGCGGCGTGAAAACGAAGAGTTGATGCACTCGGTAGTCGCGATCTTGCGATAGCCAGGCTTTAATTAAGCCGCCACGGATCGTTATCGGTGGAATCGTCGCGCGATACCGATCGTCGGCTAATTTGCATTTCTGCGGAGTCCCATGTAATCTGTGTTCGCCATTGATCACTCTGAATCGCATCGTCGAGGGAACTTGTTGTCCTTAACCCTTTAACTCCCAGTGTTGCAACGGTGTAATACTTATTTTAAAAGTGCGTCAAATTCTGTCGCCGGTTAATATCTAACTTTGTGTCAGCAAGGATCCATAATTTCACGGATGTGAAATAGATCTCCACGTTTTCAGTTGAAAAATTCAAGTATTTCCTCCAGAAAAAAGGGCAACCAAATGAAAAAAATCTGTTTAAATTAATAAAAAATAACAAGATACAATATATACTATATCAGTTTCATAATTTTGAAAAAATTGTTGGCAAAAATACCTTAAAAAATACATATGCGGTTTTTGTGGTGTCTATTGAAAATATTTCTCTTAAAAATGAAGATGTTTACACGTTTTTATTTCATTTTATGGTGAATTGTATGTAGTTTCACGTGAAAGGAAGAAAAAAGTTCATTATTTTCCGTAAAAAAGAGTTTATAATGAAGGCAAAAGAAACAATGGAAAGCCTATTGTATATCGGCTTACGGTATTTTTCGGAAAACCCACAAAGCCAATACATGTATCAGTTCTAAGGTACTAAAAGGGTTAAGAGTCTGGGCGTTAAAGGGTTAACGCTACAGCAATGAAACCCGTAAAAATGAGGGATTTCGAATTTTTCTTTTCATTATTACTGAAATCATAAAGCTACTTTTGTCGGTATTCCTATTGACTTTTAATTTATTATACATTTTTCATTGCACTATATTATGTTATATTGTATTATACAATTTTATTTAGTATACATTCAACACTGGTAATTCTAGCGTTAAATGCATATGATCCTCGAATTAATTGGGTTGACAGACATTTTGAATATTTATACCCTGGAATAATACACACATGTATAATAGCGTTAATTATCGCTGAAGCGAGGCCGAGGTATTAATTATCGAATATCGTTGTCGACGGTTATTATAGAGTGCTTCGGGAATAAAAGACTGAACTTTATTACCGTGACACACACACATTTGTGCCTTCTTACGAACGTGCGTAGGTATATACATGGTGTACAGAAAGTTATTGGTCATGGTTTCAGGTGGTAAATCTACACCCCTGGGTGGGTGGACATTTAAACATTCCACGCAAAATCTGACACATTTTGGAGTAACAATTCGGATTTTGTTGAAACTTGGATATGTTATAGTCTTTTGTGGCATATAAACATATCTCGAAGGAATTTTGATATTTTTTTTTAAATTGTTTGAAACGTAGTATCAATTTTTGTTCAATAAATTATAACTGTAGAACTAATAAACTGATCAAAATGAGCTTTGTAGGTGCTTACAGTGGAGACATACGTGTACCTATTAAATATTATTTCAGTTCAAAAAAAATTGTTTATTCATTTCTCTTGCAATTGTTTTAAAGAATTGCAATTTTATGCACTATTGAAAAATTTAAACAAGAACGATGTAGTCCTATTTGTCCTTTTTATAGACAAATTTTTTAAAATATTGTCACTTAACGATTGGCCGTATGAAAATTAATTGAAGGTAAAAGGCTGGTCTATGTAGACGGTGTGCTTAGATGGAGCTTTACTTCAATTAATTTTCGTATGGCTAATTTTAAAGTGTCCACATTTTCTAAAATTTGTCCATGAAGACGACGAACAGGACAATATCCTCATTCTTTTTCAAATCTTTCAATAGTGCCCTGATATTATAAAATTACATTTCTTTAATATAATTGCAAGATAAAAGCTTAAACAATTTTTTTTTTTAACTGAAATAATTTTGAATGTCTCCACTGTAAGCACCCACGTAGCTCATTTGTATCAATTTCTTAGTTCAACAGTTACAATTTATTGATAAAATCTTGACACTATACTTCAAACAGCTGTAAAATCAACAATTTTAAAAATTTTCATAAATCCTTCCAGACATGTTGATACTATGCTGCAAAAGATTATAACATATCCAAGTTTCAGCAAAGTCCGAAAAGTTACTCCCAAAAGTGTCCGATTTCGCGTGGAATGACCCCCTTATTTGTTAGCGACAATGCTTTCCTTTTGAACTGGTTCTCTTCTCGACAAACAGAACATCTTGCTGCGATATAAAAATTTACATTAATTTCCAATATTATACATCATTCCGCGGCAAGTATCTTTTTTACAAATGTCCACTGATTCAGGGGCGTGGATTCACCACCTGAAGCCATGACCTTTTAACACGTTTCTTACATTCTGTAGACACACGATCTTTCGAACTGTATCGACGATTACCAGTTTCTGACGCGACGTCGTCCCACCGCTCGGCCACTCGGGATTTCCTGACAATGAAGCCATTACGATCGGGCATTTCCAGGCATCCATCGTCGTCGTAGTAACGACCTACACACGAATGAAGGATCCGTGGCCGATGAGTAAACGTGACAGCCGCGACTCGTGAGTAAAACTCGTGGTGGGGAACCGGTCGCGTCGGAGTCGACCATCGCGCGTCTCTCGTTTCCGTTCAGTTCGGCTTCGTTGCGAGCGTTAAACGGACGTTTTTCGATTTCTCTCCGTGGGCCCAACTAAAAACACAGTTGCTAACAACCGCGATCTGCGACGATCGACGAAGAAACGAGCTTTTGGACGAGAACGTGAGGACCAGAGAAGATGACGATTTTAATGCCGGTGAGTGACGTCAGGGATCGTTCGAACGTGATTATTAATGTTGAATGTATACATGGATCTATGTAGTTACAGGAGAACACATACTGTGGGTAAAAAAAGTGTTCGTACATTCTTTAAAACAGAACGACTCTTTCAAAATTGGGCCAAGTGACTTGAGTTTCTTTGTGAAGTTAGAAGGATTAGTGTAGTAAATGATGTGTCAAAATATTTTCAAAAAGTTACAATTGGTCAGAATTGCAAAGAAAATAGTAAAGTTGCTTTTTACAACTCTTTTATCTGAGACTGGAATGAAAATTTAATAAATACATTTCGAAGATTTGTGTCAGGTTTATACATGCTGCAACTTTTATTGAAATGGGTTAATACAGAAAGGAGTAACAGATATCGAAAGATGTAAGAATTTTCGATTTTTTAAGGCAGAACAACTCTTTCAAAATTAGATCAAGTGACTTGAGTTTTCTTGTGAACTTAGAAAGAGTATTGTACTAAATGATGTGTTAACAAAAGGTTGAAAAAGTTGCAATTGGTCGGAATCGCGAAGAAAATAGAAATTAGACTGTAATGAAAATTTAACGAATACTTCTTAGATTTATGTTAGTTATGTGCATGCTGAAAATTTCATCGAAATCGGTTAACGTTCTTACGAGATAGAAGCGGTTAAAAATGTTGAAAATCGCAGTTTTTCGCGACTTTTGACCTACAACTGTAGTATATCTAAAGATTCTTACATATTTCGATGCCGTTACTCGTTTCTGTATTGATCAATTTCAATAAAAGTTGCATGTATATAACTGACATAAACCTTCGAATTGTATTAATTAAATTTTCATTACAGTCTCAGACAAAAAAGTTGTAAAAAACGACATTTACTATTTTCTTCGACATTCTGAAAAGTCGCAAATTTTTCAAAATTTGTTTAACACATCATTTAGTAAACTAATCCTTCTAACTTCACAAAAAAACTCAAGTCACTTGGTCCAATTTTGAAAGAGTTGTTCTGTTTTAAAGGGTGGACGAATACTTTTTTGACCCACTGTACATACATAGTAAATGTTCTAATCAAGTATATACAGTAAAGCTTAGCTTAGATTGAAGAATTGCATATAACATGAGACAGTCTAGTTATTTTAAATGATAATGTTGTAAACAAATAGAAATTTTTGAATTATTTGGAGCTCGTTCAGCTTTCAACAATACTAATATACATATAGCACAATTTAGCAGTATATAGTATAATATGAAATGTATAGTAAATCGAATGTCAAATTCCGCCAGAAGCACTATTACAGTTTCAGTAATCGTAAAACAGGAAATTTGCAATCCGTCAATTTGACGGGTTTGGTAATTCTAGTGTCAAACGGTGGATGTTAAAACTCTATCGTCAACTTCAGAGTCTAGGACACACGATGAAATGGGGATGATGTTGTTCGACAGTTTTTGGTAGCAGTCTCGTGTTGCTATTTGGGGATGAGACAATTCATTGGTTGGGTAAAGAGGGGTAACGATCGATGAAAGACAGAAGATGGGAACTTTGTTAGGAAATTTTGAAGATTTTGATTAAGTATTCATTCGTTACATTGGAACTACCGAAACAGTCGAAATGACTGGTCAATAGACTGTTATAACGACTAGCTAAAAGGTAGATGCCTTAAACGACTTGCATATAGGGATCGGGCAGTTAAAAAGTTATTTAGTGTTCACTCCAAGTATTATTAATTTATATGTTAATGAACATTTTTTTACCAGCAATTGTTACACAGATCAAAGGGAAAATAGTTGCCAGTGAGAAATTACGGGGTGAATTTTTTTAAAGGGGTAAGCTTATTCATAGGTGTGCACATCTACAGGTGGTGTAGAATACACGGACGAAATCTTATTTCTTGATGTCAAAGGTGAAAATTGTAGCATTTATCACAAAAGTGCAAAAAGTGGATCTTTCATTACTTTCGTTACAATATGAAAATTAAGAAATTAAATCTATGAATTTATCCAGATAGTATATGACGCTTTGAAGACGTCCATTTTACGGCTATTTTAGGTCTGAGGTGCCTTTAAGCCGTCAAGGTGTTATTGGGCGTCCTATGCTATCTGGGTACATATTTTTAAAAGATGAAAATGATCATCAACCTGACAGATATAAATGTACATTCATCGTCGGTAAGTCTAGTGTTAATCGAATAGTTTTTTTATCTGTGGTCGTCGATGGAGGTATGCAAAGTTAAGGAATAGAAGCTATTTATTGTACAGCATTCGGTACAAATAAGAATGTTGGTTTAGCAGTTTCTGCAATGTTTTCCCTCTGGGTAGTGATAATCGATGAAATTGTATTGAAACTTTAGGGATTTATTACTGTAAAATTTGATTGTAGGAAATTTGTAACGTTGGATACATTGGCTAATTTAGGCTAATTTGAAAATGGTACCGTAGGACATTCTTAGCTCCGTCTGTGTTTCTGTATCATCCTTTACAATATTTAAACGTGTACTTCTATTTATTATATCAGGTTTAGGATTCGTTATTTTTTACATTGGTGAAAACACGGGAAGTTTGACATAATTCAACTGAAATGCGTAATTTCGCGTGATTAGATTGAAAGTCGTCTAGACAAATATTTTCAAGCATAAATAAGCGTAGTAAGAAATATTAATATTTTACGCAAATGTTTTGCGTGATCTCTGAAGATTTCATTCAGCACAAGACCTCTGTTGACTTTCTTCGTAATAGAAACTTGAACGTTGATAAGATTAACACGGTACATTCACTTCTTCTCTGTTTATCTCGTGTATCCTGTCTTGTTTTCGCTATGAATTCTTTACCATTCTGTGCTTGATAATTGAGTTCATCCAGAATCATCAATAATATCATTGATGTCATTAAAATATTTTTTCATAAAAACACGGAAACATTGACAGTTTCGATAATCATGTTAATGTTTATACATATTAATTACCTTCATGGACCCAGTTTTCGATCAAAACCCAATTCTTAAAAAGTTCATATATGTATACATATCATATAATGAGTATATTATAATAAAAATTGTTTCCAAAAAATTACTAAATAATTATCAACTATTCTGAAGTTTTATACGTAAAATTCGATAACTCGGAGTGCAATACAGACTTTATTTGATTTATATATTTTAATTTATATATTATATATTAATTATATATTAT